TAGCATATATACCATTTTATTTTTATTTTTTATGTACTGTCTATAAAATACGTTTTCAATACTGTTTTCAAATCGGATACACACGTTTCCAGATCGAAAACTCGCATTTTCTAATTGAGAATTTCAAGAGACGTGTTTCTACAGCGATTCCGAGCCTTTCCGATTTTGGAACGTTTCTCTAACGGGAATCAGAGCTTCCATCAAGTTTTCGTGCAACATAGGTTTGATCTACTTAAAACATATTTTTTAAAAAATTATGCTCTTTTGTTATTAATTTTCCAAATATGTAGCATATACATCAATTTAATTTCTTTAACATGAATATAATTTCTTTGTTAAATTTTTTTTTATATTAATTTTTATTTTATTTATAATACTGATTTCAATTTGATTTCTTTAACATGAATATAATTTCTTTGATACTATATTAATTTTATGTGGATTTTTCTCTAAAGCTTATAATATCATTTTTTTTTAAGTTAAGTTTTTTATGTTGATTTTCTGAAATGTAAGCCTAAATATCAAGCTCATTTTATTTTATTCGAATTTTTTCTTGATAACTTACATCTCTTGATGTTGATCTAAAATGTTTTAAAAATATTGATATTTTGAAGGCATAATTTTATTTTTCATTTTTTGTTGTTAGTTATTTTTTTATATTGATTTCTCAAATAGTTAGTGAGATTTCAAGATAATTTCTTTTGAGAAGATTTTAAATTATAGTCATTCTAAATTTTATGTGGACTTTTTTCCAAAAACATATAACATCATTTGCTTTCTTTTTTAGTTAATTTTATTTATGTTGATTTTTAATAACATTAGCCTAAATATCAAACTAATTTTATTTTATACGACTTTTTTCTTAGATAATTTACCTCTCTTGATATTGATTTCTATTTTATTTTGACACTTTAATTTTTTGAAGACATAATTTTGTTTTTCATTTTTTTGTTAGTTAAACTTTCTTATATTGATTTCTTAAATAGTTAATCAGATATCAAGTTAATTTCGTTTTATATGATTCTTTTCTAAATTAACATTTTGTAAAACATAATTTTCATTTGTTTATTTATATTTTTAATATTGATTTATTAAATAATTAGCTTAAATCTTTATCTTCTCTTTTGTTAGTTAAGATTTTTTATATTACTTAAGATTTTTTTTTCTTACTTTAACTTTTTTTATATTGATTTTTTAAAATAATTAGCATAGAAATCAACTTAATTTCCTTTTTAATATTGTTTTTTTTTTAAATTTAACTTTTAATATTGATTTTTATTTCAATTGTATTGACATGTTGTAAAATTAATTTTTGTTTTGTTTTTTTGTTAATTTTTTCAAATAATTTTCTAGTTTTGTTTCACGAAGATTATTTTTTATTTTTCTTTTTCTATAAATTATTAGTAATTAATGATGATAAATTCTAAATTTCAAAAAAGTAATTGAATTTATTTAATTAATATTAATACTGATTTAGATTTAGTGTAAATTTTAATCACAAAAATAATGCATTTGTAGTTAAGTTTTAATATGTGTAAAATTCCAAAATATTTCTTATTTAGGAAAAAGGAATATTAAACATGTACCATTTTTAGTACTAATCATTAAACATGTACCCTTTTCATAATCATATCTATATATATAGTGACTTTTTCTCTATTTAAGGTATTCACATTAGCAACTTTTATATTTATTATTGGGTTTTTTGTTTTTAAATAAAAATGTTTTAGACCTATATACTTTTAAAATATTAAATAAAAGATGATATTTTGTATACAAACCACAAATCAGCAAATACTTTTTTGAAATTACAAATTAAAAATACTAATTATACTGCGAATCAAAGATCATGTAGAAAAATAGTTAAACAACAAACGAAAAATTAAAATGATAAAAGAACCCGCAGAAAAAATTATTGAACTACAGAAAACCCAACTACCTAAAGAATATATACACAAAACTAAAATGAATTCAATATCTCAATCCAAAACATTACTTTTATACTTTCAAATATAGAAAAAAATCTTCTAATAAAGAATTCCAAAATAGTTAGAAGTTGATGTTGTTACAATTCCGATCGTCTATGTCAGTTTCAATAATTTACTTTTTAAATGTTTTTTTAAGAAATTATTGGTTAATTTTAACACTTTTGGTGTAAGTGTAGATAGAAAATTTAAACAAACTGAAATGTCATATATGTTACTAATTTCAGAAATTTATTCGTATAAGTATATGTTCAAAATTATGCATTTAAAATTATTAATAATTAGCATATTATAATTTAAATTACAAAAATGAATGTATAATATATTTATATATTTTACAAGATTAGAAAAAATTACATTAAAATAACTTCTAAATCTAATACAAATATAAAATATAAATATAAACATAATATTAATATTACTATGTATACAAAATTATAAAAGTAGAAATTTAATTAATAAATAAATCTGTGTAATGCACCAATCAAACTCTAGTTACATATAAGGAGGGTTAGTAGGAGCTGGATTTATCAATAGTTGGTTAATTTTAAGAATTTGGAAATTTGTTAGAAAATTTGTGAAAAAAAATTGTAATAAAAAATGTTAGATTTGTAAAGAGTTTTGTGTATTCAGAAAATTTTTCGAAATATTTTATTATAATGATTTTAAAAATCTTATAGATATTCATAATATTAGGATTTTTAACATCTAAGATGTTTCCCTTCTCTAATCTGAAAACCTAATCTACAAGCAAGAACGTCGCATCGGTCATACTGATGTTTGGCATGTCTTGTCTGAGTGTGTTCAGGGGCTAAGTATCCCAATGTTCCAACAACGTGAGTGGTCTGAGGTTCCAAACCATGATTATACAATCGAGCCAAACCGAAATCCCAAGTCTCCCGTTGATCATCTAACGAGACGTTGTTAGCTTTGATGTATCGGTGAATCACCAATTGTAAAATATATTATATAAAAAAAAATTGATGTTAGTGTTGGGCCGTAAATTAAGAAAGATTCTGGATAAATCCACATATCCAGTTCATGAGAGTGAGATGCTGAGAAACTCGAGAAACATTAAATGCGTAGTAACTATCAAAAGCGGTCATAATGATAACAACTAGAAAAGGACGGAAGGAAATGGGATGTGCTTTGTTATTGTAACTTTTTTTGGTAAAATGTTAAATTAAGAGAACAACTTATTTTGCTGTGTGTTATCCATTGATTGAGGCTAGTGTCGATGAGAGTTTCAGGTTCATTGAACATATATCATAATTACAACAATATAAAGTACCATTAGATTATAACTACTGTAACTTTAAACTATTGAAAAAATTAGAAAAAAAAATAGCAATACGTAGTAAAATTATAAGTAAAATATAAAAAAAAAACATAGGTAAAATATAAGCAAAATATAAACAAAATACAAGCAAAATGTAAGAAAAAATTAAAAATTGTAAGAAGTAGAAAAATGATAGGTTCAATTTTTTTTACACCCCTGTAAAGATTTGAGATATCTTAATAACTGAAAAGGTTTTATCTTACCCTTACATTTTTAGTAGAAAATATATTTATTTAATTTTTGGTTTTTATCAAACAACCAATAACTAAAACTAAAAACTCTTCAAATACCTTTCATCCATTCAATGTAATTAACAATTTGGGGGTTTTCATTTCAATAACAAGAACATTAAAGGAATCATCAAACAGTGACACGATCATAAGATCGTCATCTATTTTTTTAATATCTTTATATTTTTTTATCAAAACTTACCGATGTTTGGTTTAAAGTAAATCACAGTATAATTGTTGATGGGTTTGTAAAGATTCCGGAAAAAAATTGATAGAAAATACAGAATTTAAACAGTTTAAATAATAAAAATACATTTATCTTTTTTATAAATCTGTGAAAATATTAATTATATTTGAAAAAAAAATTTCCTAAAACATATTTTATTAAAAAATGAAGAGAGTACAAAAACAAGAAATATAGTGTCAACTTTCTCATGGTTGTCGATTTCTTGAATTTTCCCAAAAAATCATTGATTCATATCGATAATAATCCAAAGATATATTTTTATGTAATTATGAAAAAGGTAATGTTTGATGTTTAGTATTAAAATATTTGTTCTTCTGTGAGATATAAACCAAATTCTGGCTAATTCATAACTAAAAGCTGGATGTAGTTTCTAATGTAGATATATATAGTGATTTATACAGTATAACATGTATAAATTAATACTTCATAAATTATAATTTTGCTGGAAACTTTTAGGCAAAATCTGCTAAAATAATTCGAATAATTTTAATTATAATTAAATCAAAAATTGTGTTTACAAGTTTATGAATATTATTTTAATTTTAATGAAAATTTGGTATCTATCTTATAAAGTTTATATATATAAATATTTTTTTGAAGTTAATGACAGTTTTGAAAATAATTTATACAGATTTTTAGATTTCCAATATATACATAATAAAATATAAATATAAAACTGAAAATATATAATTATTTTTCATATTGACTTTGTGAATGCATGCAAATAAGATTTATATGTATTATTTAATATTAAATGAAAAAAAATATATATATATTCGGGTTTGATTGTTATGTTAATTTAATAGTAAAATAGTAGAATACTTGATAATAAACTAACAGAATTAATAAGATGAATAAATTCAAAACACTAAAAATTTAGTATTTATTAGATAAATATTTTTTTAAAAAAAAATATTATAAATTTAAAACGTGAATAAAAAATAGTTTATTTATTTTTACCTTTTTATCATTTAATAATTATTATTATGAATAGTGTGCATTTAGTAAATTCACATTTTCAAAACATTAAAAAATTACATACCATTCAATCTTATTATTTAACATTAAAATAACATAATGAAATACTTCCATGTTCTTATTTAGAGTTTTAGTTATAATTTATAACATGAATTTCTTTTAGTTGGTTTGAATAATTTCTTTTTAACTCTTTGTGACTCCACATCTCTGAACTGTTTCAGTTATCGTAATACTTATCACACACCAAAAAAAAATGTTTGACTAAAGTCTGTACCTAAAGAAATAGTTAATAACTGAAGAGTTACATATTGTAGATATTTCTAAATGATTATAGGGCAAAAAACTATCAAATGTAAAAAGTTAAGTGGTGATTTTTGAATCGTATGATTACTGTTTATTGCACACTAGTCTAAATAAATTAAGGAAAAAACATTTCTCAGGATGCTCCGACGAGTAACGTACTAACAAACAAGACGAACATTATTGATTATTGTCTTCTAAAAAGACAACCTAACAAGCTTATTGTATAAAATCCGATCATCTCTTCCTGTGTTGCTCTCTAACAAAGCACTCTGCACAAGTTCCTGAAAAAGACACAAAAACAGTTTTGATTATATTCGATTCTATATGTTGTTAAGATGATGACAAAACTCAGGGTCTCGAGAAATCTATGTTACCTTGACTTCTTTGTGAGATAGGAATTTTCCCAAGCTGTGAATAGTCATTCTCATATCTTCAACCTGAGAAATCACAAAATAAAAACGCAAACAGCATTGCAACTTCATTCTGAGAGATAACGACATGACAGTTTAAGGAAGACGAATTAAGCTTCTTCTTACCCTAACATAGCCTGTTTGGTTCCGGTCAAAAAATCTGAAAGCCTGAGTCAAAGAACATCCAATGAACAAAAATGCTTGAAGCACCAAACAAACGGTAAAAGCTAAAGACGTAACCAAAGTCAAAGTTGGGATTTTACCTGCAACAACTCTTTATCAACCGTTTCTTCTCTTTTCGGTGCATCAGACGTTCCTCCCTCTTGCTTCCCGTGCTTGTCTGACTCAGACTTGGGTTTGGTCTCAGCAGATTTGGAATCAGTCTTTTCCTCAACAGAAGAAACTTTTGCTTCTTTTCCGTCAGTTGCGACTTCAGTTATAGGTTCAGCAACAGTGCCACTCGTCTTATTCTCACTGTTTTCTTCATTCTTCAGCGGCTGAAGATGAGACATAAAACCAAGGTTTATTATGAAGAAACATCTTGTTGGCTATTCAACATAATCCAGTACAAAATGAGTTTTACATCATACCTCTTCAGCAGGGTCGTCTTCTTGCTCAGGATTTGCATCGTCCATTTCTTCAGGGTCTTCTTCAGGGTCCTCTTCAGGATCTTCTTCAGGATCCTCTTCAGGATCTTCCTCTGGGTCTTCATCAACATCGTCATCCTCCTCATTCTCGTTATCAGCCTCACCCTGGTTATCCACTTCCATATTAGCAGCTGATTCATCATTAGATTTTTTACTGCCTAAAGTTTCTTCAGAGTTCGCTACAGCTTCCTTATCTGAGACTTCCCGAGCACCGTCTACAATTTCCTTGCCTGAAGTCTCCTTATCATCCTTCTCAGGAGCAGATTCAGTTTTAACAGAGATTTCCTTGTCATTATGTTCAACAGTCTTTTGACGCTTGTTTTGTGTATTTGCTTCCTTTTGCTTGGCGGCTACCTCTTCCTGATGCCTCTTCCTTTGATTTCTTTGTCTCACAAATTTGACGCGCAGCTTCTACGAAGAAGAAAAAAACGACGGGTGTAAACCCAAAGTATAAAAAACCAGTTCATGTGACTCAAAGATAATGGCATCATAAATCAGTGAAATAACCAACCTTGAGAAATTCAAAGATACGGGTACCCATTTGATACTGTAGCATCTCGAACAGCGATTCCGCAAACAATGAAAGCTGCAAGAACACAGATACATGAAAACTGAGTAGTTCGGTTACTGTAACAAAATGCGATATACACTGCCTTGGATAAGAAAGAAATATGAAAACAGGCTAAGCGGTACACAAAGGAAAAACTAACCTCAAATGATGACTCATCAATGTCCTTGTCAGTGTAATCCAAGAGCGAGTCCAAGGAGACCGAAAGTGAACGCAGCTGCTATAAAGAAAGAACTCCAATTAAGTAAAAAGTTGCAACGGTAATATTAGCTATTAGCAAATGTAATCTGAAACCTTTAAGTTATTCTCCACATACTTTAGAGTCTTTGTTCCGTTTCATTATTAGAATAAATCCTGGACGAGGAGGTTCCTCGGACTTTTTCCTGTCCTTCACTTGTATCCTGGACGCATCTTTTCCACCTCTCTCTTTAATCTCTTTCTCGGTAATTTTTTCTTTTGCCTTTTTCTCATCAACCTTTTTCCCCTCAGACTGAGTCTCTGAGTTGTTTTTCTTTTCAGCCTTCTTATCTTCACCAATCTTAATGTCTTTCTTTGTTGAAGAAGAGGCACCCTTCTTTTTCTCAGTATCCGGAGATCCGGCACTCTGTTTTATTTCCGCATTTTTGGAGGGACTCTCTTCTTTCTTTTCCTCAGAAGGTTTCATTTCCATATTATCTGAATCAGAGGTTTTCTTGCCTGCCTCACCGTCCATGTTATTGTCTACTTCAGCAACCTTCCTTCTAGCCACCCTTTTAATAATCTTTTTCTTTACAATTGTCTTTGAAGGAGTCTGCTCATTAGACTTAGCACTAGGATCTGAGCTCTCACCTGCCTTATCACCTGTTTGAGCTCCAGCCTTTGGGACTGAGGTCTCCGATATGGCAACCTTTTCGGGAATCTCATCTTTCTTACCGGTCGCCTTCCCGTCATTGACAGGCTTTTTAACAACTCTTTTGATTATCTTTTTCACCATCTTCTTAGTTCCAGTTGTCGGAGCCTTTTTCTCTGCATCCTTGGCCACTTCACTTGTATCATCACTGCTTTTTCCCAAAATGACTTCTTTCTTAACCTCCTGAGAAAGCAGTCGATCTCTCTCAGCAAGAGCTTTCCTGTGTGCTAGCCATTGGGTTCTCCAAGCATCAAACGAAGGAATACATTCTGATAAATCGGGGACAAATAGTACAGTGATCTCTTTGAAGGTAGAAACTCCATCTGTACCAACTCTGTCATAATGTATCTGTAAATGCCAAAAAAAAAGGCAAAACAAAGCTACTTAGTTCTCCAGATAAATTGGTAAGCAGTATCGCTTGGTTAGCTTATATATTAGTAATACCATGCTTACATCAACATCAAAAAGGATACGCTACTGTAGCATCCCCACTTTTCCAAAATCTTAATGCAGTCTTAAAATAAGAAAGTAAAACCTACCTCGAGAAATGGATTCCAGTGACGACAGTTGCTGAGATCAAGATGAAGCTTATCCTTTGTGTGTCTGCAACGAAACAGTCCTCTCATGTCTAAGACAATGAACGAAAGGCAGAAAAGAATGAACAAAAACAAAACGAACAAGGGAAGAACCACACCTCAGCATTGTCTGAATTAAGGAAGACTGATCAACGGATGGGTCCATGCCATCAATGGGATCCCAGGGACCACCAGTCGCCATGAAAGAATGATCTTTTTTAAGAACCGCAAATTTTAATATGTTGCATATATGAGGTATACGGTCTTCAAATAATTTATCTGAAGAAAGATCTTCCAGAGCAGTCCTGCTCAGCCCACTCATCAAAATCATCTGAACAACAGAGAGACCACATTACACATGAGCAAATTTCTTTCAATACAATCAGGAACAGTAACATTACCAGCGATGATACATTGTGCAATGACATACTCAAAGAGGTAGAAGACCCTACAAACCGAAAATTAAGACGAGGTAATATTTTTCAATGAGAAAAACTAACAACAGCCCACCTTGGCATTCCAAACAGTCTTTCCTCCAGTTTTAACAGCTAAAGACTTTGTGGGAGTATTTTTCACATCAACGCCACCCTCTTCAATGTAATCATGCTCAAAACTGCCATCCAAAGATGGTAATAAAGCAAAAGTTGAATCCACAAAATTTAGCTTTAATCGGCAAGGGAAATTAAAACTCCAGAACTAATGATCAATTTCAACTGCTTGAGAGGAATTAAAATCCTCAGACTGACAAAATGCAAATAAGAAAGAATAATTCACCTCACAGCAGTATGCATTGAAAGTGTTAGCTTTTGTTTCGGCCAGTTCACTACAACCTGAAATTTATATATATTGAGGTTTTATGATCATTTATCGCTCTGCTAAGGATTAGAAAATGAGTAGGAGATAGACAAACACCTTGGAAAACTCAGAAGGCACATAAAGCCTTGGATATCTTTTATCTAATGTCAAGTAATCCCTCTCCGCGTCAACCAATCGCGAGGATAAAACCTGCATACAAGTCACACAATCATCAAATAAAGAACTATGCTCATTGGGCTTAAACATTGCATTATTCAGGATACATAGGGCAACTCTGCCATTTCTATTCATGTCACCATAAAGTATCTTATCAAAGGAAAAGATAACAATTCAAGTCGTTGATTTGAGAAAGTGATAAGCAACCAGTGTTTCAACCTTGTGAACTTTTCTAAGTTTCATTGGATTCAAAAGTGCAAAAGACAAACCAGAATCTATCATGTTGCACAATTTCCTCCAAAACCAAACTAAGGAAAGCATAGATGTGTGTATGAGATAGTGCAACCGGATATTTGTCACACTAATTACCAAAAACAAGCAAAATGATACCACAAGGTGGCAAGAAGTCAGAAGCTTGGCCAAACAATATCCATAACTAGGAAGATATCCAATGGAGAGAAAAGGAATGAGAACGCTGAACTTGGCAGAATTTAGATGGTGAAGGCAATGGTAGGGAACTAGAGATTATCATGAATTTTTTTGTCAATGATTATCGTGTTAGATGGCAAGCCTGACACGGTAATCGAGCAGGAACCAAGTGACGCCAAGTCAATCAATAAGAAAACAAGTAGAATAAAGGAGTGGATAGGAAGATGAAGAAACCCTGAGGAGAAGGCAAAAACATCAATGAATGAGGAATCTCTTGGAACACTTATTACCTTGCAGACATAATCTCTCCTTATTGGCCTAATTGGTGAAGGACGCCTTCAGGTATAATAGAAATAAGGTCAGTGTCTGGTGAAGCAACATAATATGCCCTGTATTCCAGATGAAGAATGTGACAGGGATCAAAAAATAAAACCTAATTGATGCTTCACGATGTTGAGCATCCCGCCGCAAAGAGGAACTACGTGCATCCCTAGAAACAGCTTTTGGCACTGGAGTCCGCTCCGTTGGGTCCTTGGACGTAGCTCTTGCTGTTGGATTTGTTTCGAGAGCACGTTTACGCTCACGTTCTCTTTCAGCTTCTCTTTCCTTCTCCCGTCGTTCAAGAATGCGTTCCCTTTCCCTGTCCCTAGCTCTTTGCTTTTCTCGTTCCCTCTGTCGCTCGCGTTCTCTATCACGTTCACGTTCCCTCTCTCGTTCTCGTTCCTTATCTCTGGCACGCAGATTCTCACGGCGACGCTCTTCTTCCCTTAGTTCGAACTCCCTGAGATAACTTGCCCGGTCATCTTTTCTTAGATCATCAACACGATGACCACCACCACCACCACGAGAAAGCATACCACCAGGGTAGTCCAATTCTAGAGTTGCTGCACTATGGATTCCCTTCCCAGCACCGTAATCCCTGCCAGGAGGTAAGCTAACGCCATAGCCAGGATTTGAAGAACTATCCGGATAAATATAATCATCTAAGTTTCGTCGAGGAACAGCTCCTAATAACGATGGGGTATGTTGGCTGGCATAAGATGCGTTGTGTACTGATAGCCCGTGAGGATCAGACTCGAGCCTTCCTCCATAATGCATAGCTTCTTGGTCAGAATGGCGTACAGTAGAACTTCGTTCTGTAAGATAATCGGCTTGTCTGCCATAAATGTTTGCTACTCAGTGCAATAAGATATAACTTTTTTTCTTCAAACGTTATTGCAAGTTTCCACAGGAAGGTACAGTAGCTTTATAACAAAACTCTTGGGAGAACATGGTTGCCATACAGAAACAGAAAAATATAATACAGATCACAGAGGTACCACCAATGAAACCTATTGGAACAAAATTATTCTACAGTAGAATATAAATACATCATCGAAAAAATACCTGACACCTCCATCAACAGAAGAGGTATGGAGCGACTGGATTTTCAATAACTGTTCTCCCCGGAGAAGCGATGCTTGATCAATGCGATCATACAAACCAGTCTGCCAAAATCATAATAAATGAGTATTATATACAAAACAAACCAAAATTCACAAGATACTCTAATAGCCGTGAGAGTGACCACACCTGACGACCAAAGTTAGACGAATCAGCATATCGACCAGCTGGTTCATTTTGCAGCTCCCTACCGAGATACGCGCCTGAACGTTCACCATACTGCCTTCTGTCGACCGGGACGTAACCAGAGAGCTTATCAGAGTACAAATCTTCCCCCTTTTGACCATAACCATGGCTCGAGGGAGACAAATAGCTTCCAGACGCAAACTTTGGTGAGTCCGGTAGAGTTGGGACGTATCCCGAGCGGCTATCCAAGACCGATGAGCTGCCTAAAGGCTGAGAGCTGCTAAGAGATGTTGATCCATACACAGAGCCATACTGCGTTCCGTAGTGACTCGCCGTCGATAAGTGAGATCTGTACCCACCAGTCTCAGTCTCCTGAGGAGCTCCTGTCATGGACGGATGCCGAGAACTCAAAGACGTCTGAGATCCTCCCTCTGCGCCACCGACTGAACTTCCGGGATAACCAGATCCAAGCTACATTCATAATAATAACAATTTAAGTCATATAATTCAATTGTAAGTTCTTCTATTAGCAACGATTCCATTCCAACATAACTTAACTATCAAGCAAAGGTGAAAAATTTTGATAGAAAAAAAAAAGAGAGAGAGAGAGAGAGGTCTTTGATTCGATTATGATCTTACATTCTGACCATATCCCGATTGGGAACCGTACTGCTGCTGGCCGTAGCCACTCCCTCTTGAAGAATACATGTCTTGGCTCAGTGCATCTGATTTCAATTGTAATGAGTTTGTGAGAATTTGGGAGATACTACACAAAATTGGATATCGGAAGCGAAAATCGACGTCGTGGTGGCTCTTACCTACCAGAGGATTGATTTTTTTTTTTCTCTTCTTCTTCTCTGCGTGTCGCGTAGTGGTGGAAAGAGAGAAGACCTTAAGCAATTTGGGCGATTAAGAGAACAAAAAAAACAAATCCCTAGAAATCCCAGATGAGGAAGACGAGCTGAGAATGGTTGTTAAAAGATTCGGAGATTGGTAGAGTCTAAACGCAACGAAGATGATGATGTTAATAAGGGTTTTTCTTTGATGTTAAAGGACACGCAAATGTCGCAAAACAAGCATTGCCTTTTTTAATGGGCTTAGATTTTATGCTATATATTTTGGGCTTCATCAGTTCGTTATGTAGGAGTAATAATTTTTTAGTTTTTTTTCCATAATAAGATTGATCTGTGAAAATAAAATATGGTTTGGTACTTTCGTTTCCCATTTAAGCAAAAACAAACTTTAATGTGAGCTTGCATATTGCTTTTGTTAATTCTTCCATATTTTATTGTTTTCTGTTCACATTTTACAGTTAAAAGAACTAAAGTTTGGAATACAGATGGAATTTGTACAATACAGTAAACTTTTTGTAGTACTTATCTTCTCATATAATGGCATATTTATATAATAACTGAAAAATATATATTTTGACTTATTCGAAGTACAAAACTGTACAATGTCTTTGGTTATCGCCTCTGGAAAACCTGACAAGCCGCTCTTGTCAACTTTTCAATGGAATCTGCAATCAAAGTTATATTTTAAAACTTTGTGATACGACTTATTCGAAATACCATATAATGACTTCATCGGCAGCATTCTATCGAATTTAACATTAAACGATGAAGAAAGAAAAGTTAGAAAAGAAACCTGTTGTAACTTATAACTTACACAAGTCTTTTACCAAAAGATGTTCGAAAATCTAATAAAATAAAAACAAAAAGGGTGAAGGGACGGCTGTGATCATTGGAAACAAAAAAAAATTGTTTTCCTCCATATATGAAAACACATTTATGTGTATAAAATATTTTCTACTCTGCCCTTCTTTCGCCGTTTTGTCTTCATTCTTCATGAGTCTTATTAGCCTCCCCCTCAGCAGCTGTCTTCGATTCATCAAACGCCATCAACTGCAACAAATAAATCAACAAACCATAAGCTGAATCATCATCCATTCTTATTTGTTTTGTATTAAAGCATTTGGTTAAACCGTTAAACCATGTGTTTGCGTTGGCGTTTATATCTTAACCCGCAACCATAAACATGCAAAACAAAATTACTCTACTTCTTAAACATAAACGCTAAACACAGACAACCGGAAAGTCCTTCCACTCCGGTTTGGCGTTTGCACTTTCCAAACATATTTTGTGAAAATTGAAAACGTTTTATACAAATGCAAAAATTGCGTTTATAACAATTAAAAATCTAAAAGGGAGAGAAAACAAACCGGTTTAATGTCACCGTTCCAGAAGCAGTGAGAACCCAAGAACCCAATGACGGCTGGGACAATGTATAACAAAGCAGGCTGATACAAAGGCAAACACACAAACCAAACCACATCAGAGAAAAATTCCCCAAACGAGGAAACACATATTAGCTTTGCAAGTAATGGATGAAAACAATTAAGACACAAAAACTGACCTGTGCTGCTTGAAACCAGTTCATGACTACAATAGTGAGGACAACTCCAGCAGTGTATCCCACAAATGCACTCGTGAAGTATTGTGGTTTACTGCGTCTCGACACATCAAATCTCAGAGCCAGTGCAACAAAAATACCTGAAGGAAAACATAAACTAATGTCTCATATTCATATAATGACCAAAGACATGATACAAGAATATTGAGTTTAAGCAGTGTGTATTGTTCTTTAGAGGACATACCCGGAATGACAATATCACCAAGCCCAAGCATAGAGTAGGGTCTTAGAGCATCTCCCGTAGGGAATAAAAGCTGAAAAAGAAATTGCAACAATGAGATTACTGATAAAATCACTAAGACCAAATCGAATTAATTTCGTTTTATGTGGTTTTTGAGACATTTTCACTAACCTTGATCGGAGCATCAAAGGATTTGGCAACACTAACCATAACCGGAGTAAAGAAAACCCAGAAAATATCATAGAAAAACAGTCCAACCTACAATTCAGGGATAAACAAAAAAATACCAAATGAATGAGACATTGTCTTATGTTCGTCTAAACATTCCAAACAATTTTCAAAAGACGCAGATCAGATATTTCCTCCTTACCAAAAGGATGGCACCAGTCTTGAATGATCCGAGAGAGAGCATCTCAATTCCCTGTAGTGACCACATCGTTGATTAGGAAAAAGACACACACTACAACACTAACGACAGAGCTAACATAGTTTATTGTACTATATATCATATGATATCCCTGGAAATGAAGTAACCTGAATGCAGAAGGAAAGCCCAAGGATATTGTTAGCAAGCCAATGTTTTTTCCAAGCATACCACGCGCAGAAGAAGGTTCCAGGGATTCCCGCAACGACTTGGGACTTTGTGAACTCCACCTCCAAAGCTGCTTGACAAATAGGTGTCAGGAATTGGAAGAAAAAAAAAGAAACATTATTCTAGCATTACATAACCAAAACTAATGAGAGAAAAAGGCTACAAAAGAAACTAAAATCTTAGTTACGTACATCGGAAATAAGGAAAACGCCAGACGATAAGATTGTCATTCCAAGGAGTTGGCAAAAACCTTCTGATAGCAGGCAACAATGTCGCTCTGCAAAAAAAAACACAAACTTGTTGTATTAGGAAAACGAAAAAGCCACCACCACAGACACAATATTAAAAAGCATAAATTGGATCAGACGTACGAAAGAGCGACGATCCCGAGAACAAAGAAGTAAGCTGTAAGAACAGCATTGACCAAATCCTTCGAGAGAAACTTGAACAGTAGGAAGAGTGAGAGAAGCATAGCACTCCCAACCAATGGGAAACGCATGGCATGTTCTTTCGACATCGTCTCCTAAACATCGTTTCAAACAAAAACATTTAGATCGAATTGTGAAAATGGTTTCACTGAGAACTGATAAAAAAAGAGAATCTGGTCTCCGTCTTCTTACAGTTGGAGGAGAATCCTTCACCGAACGAAAGCAACCCACAAAAACGGTGAGACATGCCGTAAGAATAACGTTCAAATTGGGATTCACATTCACAACGAGTGGTGCCACTGTCAAACCTGAAACCAAACACACACACACAAAAAACTTTCTCAATTTTGATGTAAGCAATCAAATCACACCCACCAACTCTAAACCCTAGAGGAACCCGATTGATCTGAAGCAGCTTACGTTACCCCCAACAAAACAAAAACGAAAATTGAACAACTCCAGCGAATTTCAAACCCCAATCCGAAAGCTAATCAAATTAATCACGTACATCAAATTGGAACCCATCACATAATCGTAAAACCGATCGAAATTGAAACCCAGAAATAGGGTAGAACGAGTGAATTTGAACAATTTATAAGAGTGAAAAGAAACGAGAACCTGCGAGAGCGACATTAGCGATCCTCTCACAATTCTTCATAATTGATCTTGTGTTACGTTTTACTCAGTACGCTGGTGAATGTATAGAGAGATCCAGTGGTGGGGTCAGGAAATAAAATTCCACCAGATCTGTTAAAATTAAATTAAAAAAAAAACTGTGAGGCAGAAGAGGAGAAGAAGAAGAAGAAGGAGGAGAAGAGAGGGATTTAGGAAAGAAAATTTAATACACGACGACTATGAAAGTCACTGGCTGTGACCTAGTTATGTGACAGACGTATATCATTGGTAACGTCAACGTGTTTATTACATGACGCTCGTATTATTATTGGTCAGTTAATGGCATTCAGCACTGCATCACAAAATGTGTAAAAAAACAAAATTAAGTATGGTAAATCAATAAATGCTAAGCGATATTTTCCAAACTTTAACGGAAGACCATAATGTAAACAGATATCAAAAATAATAAATCATGATAAACAAAAACATAAAAAAAAGTTAACTAATAAATTGGAATCAACATATGAATCCTCGAACATTATAAAAGTATCTAACATTGAGATCAATAGAATCGAGACAGAACCTTGTCTGATTTATAAGTAAAATTTAAAAAAACATGAACAATTAACTAAAATTACTGAACGAATATCTCAATATTTTGTTTAGATTTCCAATTTAGAGGAATAAAGTGAAAACGATTTTCCCAAAGGCCTAACCCATAAAAATTCTGGATTTTGTTTTTGATTTCGCAAACGATTTCGACACATTTTGAATTAAAACAAAACTTAGGACGATGTTCTTCACTATACCAAAAAGGTGCTAGACCTTACATGAAGACTACAACAACAACAACAAAATATCATCATTCTTTCAGGAACTTCCTGGATGTTATAGATTCTTCAGACTGAAAGAACCAAACTGTTCTTTCTCTTGGATCCTCAAAAAACGCCGAGTGTTTACAAAAATTAGCCCAGAATCTAAAGTGTCTAAAACATAAAACAATAATTTTTAAGATGGGTCTGGTGATCAATAAACACGGTTTCTTCCGGGAGAATTGAAGTTCTGCAAAATAAGAAGAAAAAAAAAAACCATCAGAAACGAATCTATATGAAATTTTGTTAAATAATTTTGGTAACAAGAGTTCATAAGAATCTTTGTGAATCATATACCATCCGACTGCCATAGTCTTCATTTCTGGTAACTTCCATGGAACCATGAGAATGGTTCTCGCGTTTTCTTTGCTTGGGCTTGCTCGAAGCCTCTGTTGTTTGAGAAATATAAGGAAAAAATGTTGGAAGCAAGACAAGACCACGGTCCATGTCGAATACATTGGCTCTTAATCGCAACATCACTTGCGTAAGAGCCTTGATTGCTGCATCAAGACTTCCTGTTATCTAAATCACAACAAGAAATAGAAACCTGGTTTAATGTCACTCTAAACACACACAAAACTGAGAATCATTAGACGATGAAGAGTTAAGATTTTTTAATTTTACCTGGACCATCTCCTCCTCCTCACGAGCAATTCTTGGCACATCTTCGCCTTGAAAAATGCGGATATTCGCTTTTGTGACACTCCTCATCTCGGAAATAAGAGCTCCACCTTTGCCAATGAGACACCCTACTTGTGAACTAGGAACAAGTACACGAGTGGAGATTGCAGAATCAGTTGAATCTTTCCCTACTTTCTCACTGCAGCGAGTTTGTAAGCGTAAAGCTGCATTCACCGTTGGGGATTGATCTTCGAAGAACTGTTGTACATCAAGTCGGATCAACATCTCACACAAGTTTAAAAATCAGATTCACATAGAGAAGAAAAGGTTTGCGTTACCTCCTTTGATGATATGAAAATGATGCAATCATCATCTTCATCGGTTTCTGAGGTATTGACTCTAATGGTCGCACCAGATTCTTGCCTAACCTGATTTATGAAAGACCCGCCTTTTCCTATTACACCTCCCACATTTTCAGATGGACAGATGAAGCAGATAGAGAACTCTCTTGCATCAGCAAAATCTCTTGACGCAGAGTAATTTTTGTGAGAGCTTGTTACTGCAGGACTCATTAGTATTCCACCGGGTTGATGCAAGCTACTTGAGGAAGACAGAAAGTAGTTCTGAAACCGCGACGGGTTATCATAAAGCAAAGAGGCAACTTGACAAAGAGCTTCTCTAACAGCAGAGGGCTCTCCGATTATCTGAAAGTTAAACCAAACAACATTCATTAAGCAAAATCATAAACATAACCACGTTAACTCAAAGCTGGAGAAATTCTCTTATACAGACTCGTGGCATTACCTGAAGAAGCTCGTCGTGGCTCACAGCTAAAGCACAAAGAGGCAGGTTATCGTTTATGACACGGATTTGAGCATTGGTTTCATTACGCAGCTTTTGGATCACTTGTCCACCTTTCCCAATAAGGCAACCAATTTGATCAGACGGCACAAGCATCCTCGCAGCAACTGTTTGTCTCTCGCTATACTCATCATCGTCGTCGTATTCATCACTGCCCGGTTCTTCAGCAACAATCATATCATGGACCTTGAAAAGAGCATCAAAGGCAGGACAAACAAACTCTCCATCATCTTCACCATGATTCGTCTCCTCGCTAGTCGAATAGATAGTAACAACACGCTCCTCGCAACCGAGCAAAGCCTCGTTTATCCTCATGCTTGCTTTCGTCTCGGACCTTATCTGTTTTGCGATTTCACCGCCCTTACCAATAATGCTCCCTGCTTTTCTCACAGGACACAAGTAACGATACACAGTGTTTTCTGATCCAACACCATTGTTATCTACATCATCAGAAGAAAAAAGCTCTCAGTTTCTTACTTCCTCCGTTTCCAGTAAGATCAAATTTGAAAACTTAACTTAGATCTCTTACCATAAATGTTCTTCGTATAAGCCATTTTAGCAACGATCTTATGAGACGAATACTTGAATCACAAAGCCAAAGGAAGCTGAAGAAAACAAGTAATTCCAAATTAGTAGACTCAATGTGTATCCCCTAGTTACTACATCATCGGCAAGGAGAACTAAAACCCTAAAGCAGAATATGACTACAATCAACAAATTTTTCCATATACTTCAGGTTTCGAATAAGCAACAACAACAAAAGTTTCAGAATACTTTCGTTTCTCTGCACAAAGAATCTAAGCTCGCGACGAGGAACACGAAAACTTATAATAAGCATCAACGAAAATCAGATTCTCACGCAACCGACGGATAAAAATAGATAGCATTGGAAGATTGCCGAATCGGAAACTCAAAAGAGGAAGCTCTAACTGGAGAATAAAAGAAACCGATGATCGGACAAACTGTCCGTGGAGCCGCCGTCTTGCCGGAAAAAATGCAACGGCCTCTCAGTTATTTCTCCTGTTGGTTTTTGGTTTTTAAAATTGAAGAGGATGAAAAGAGAAGACTTTTGGGCTACTTCACGTCTACAGAAGAAATCTCAAGGCCTAGAGAGCAAGTGTGTGTGACGTGTGGGCTCTTAACTCTTTCTCGCGTCGTGACGACACGTAGCCCTGTTTAAATAAGCAATAACTATGTGAAATTTTATAAATTAACTAGGGATTGTTCTGCGCTACTTGCGGATTGTAAATTATAATTTTGTTTTTAATATAAATTAGATAAGATTTAAAATTATGGGAATAAATTAAAGAAATATAAACTCAAACTAAAAAATATTTTGTATTTTGATTATCTCTAAGTGTAATTATCTAATTTGCTAAAAAATCTATATTTCAGCTAGTTGTGCATTTTTATGAATTACTTATCCTATATTGATTATGTTAAATTTTGGGTTAGACATTTTATTCAAAACCTTATTTGGAGAATGATCTAGTTTAGAAAATAGTGTGTTTATATTAAAGTTATTATCTTGATTTAAAATATAAGGTTAGAACTTTGTATCTATTTATATTTAGTGTCTTTGAAAGTATCTATCTTGTTTTACAGTTTTGATATAAAAAATTTGTATAATATTATTTTGTATAATACAGTTCTTCGATATAATACAATTCTTCTATATAAATATAGGGTTTGATCCACGCTACTAATAATTATTTTTAATATTTTAAATATAATATCTTACTTATATAATAATTGTTTGAATGTAATGTTATAAATTTATAAGATAATTTTTATAAATTGCTTATGATGCATTTGAGATTGGTGTTATTTTATATGAAATATTATGTAATTATCCATTTTTTTGTATGGTTTTTGTTAGTTGTTTCTTTTATATTTTAAACAGTTGGGGAATTATAATTATGTTTTATATATTTTTTGTTTGTTGTGTGTGTGGAAGTTATAAGTAGTTGTTTTTCTTTTGTGTTGTAATAGAAAGTAGAAGCGAATGAGTGAGAATTTGTTAATTTGTTTGCATTTTGTTTTTATTTCATTTCGTAATTAGAAGTTTGAACACAAATTTAAATGCAAAACTTGATAAAATAGACATAATCTTTATAAATCCTTCTTTTGTCTTTTTCAATTGCTTATTTTTATCGTGAGAAGGTTATAAATTTTAAAAATCCCTTTAAAGTTCTAATCTTTGACCCGTTTACACAAAAAGGCAAACAATCCAAGCAAGCTTAGCAGGGCAAACACATATAACTTCATCGAATCTTCGACTGGCAAAAAACGTCTTTCTCTGGATATTTGGTGACCTATAATTTGTGTAGATGAATAAAACGGCCAGCCTCCAAAGCTTGGATACATCTCATATAGAACGGTATGTAAGCTTACACTTGTGATCATGGTCGTATCATGGTATTTTTCTCTGACAGTTTTGGAAGGGGAAACTGGAAAAAATGTTTAGCTTTGTTACAATGATTTGATGAGCAGATTATGAAAGAGCATAACTAAAACAGGTGATTAAATAGCAGAATTTATCTATACAGGATGTAGTAAAAGGAAGAAGTTCATAACAGGGGACGCCATATCCAACATTGTCAATTATTTAAAACTGACCATTTACGAAAACATGAGCTTTCGTCAAGTTTTTTAGCTCACCCACAAAAAGACATGTTTAGAAAGTAATCCAGATTACACTATCTCTTCTACACTGTTTCTTATCTTGAAATAAGTGTATACTAAACGAAGATAAAACGCCATCGAATATTAAGATAGTTAAGAAAAAAATCACAAAGATATTAGAAACACAAACGGCGCAAATTTATTGAGTGAATGAAGGAACTTTAAAAGAGAGATCTCAGTTTTGTGGAAAAATTAATGATAGAATTTTGAAAATGTTTTGATTCTTACTTGATCCCCTAATGCCTCATTGGGATCAGTTTTACTCAAATGATGCTTCTGCATAACAACACAAACCCAATAAACAGGATGCACAAAACAACATGATGAATTCAATATATATATGTCATACCAATTTCAGAAACTCATAATATGAAACAATGTATCTTACCTTTAGTAGCCTGACTTCTCTTCCAGCACAAGATAATGAAACTATGTCAATATATTATCTGATGGAATTTAAAAATGAGAGTGGAAAACTGAGGTGGAAAGGAGCTTAAGAAAGAGATTATGGCTTTGTGGAAGATGATGGGTTTAGTTTAGGGAGGAGTCTCTGTTTTAAATAGGGTTTTGTGGCATAACGTTTTTAGGAGGAGCCGAAGAGGTGTTTTCTGAAATTGATTGTGAGAATTATACATGTTGGCGTGGGAAATCAGAGGTTACATTAGATATATTTGAAGGGTTTTAATTGTTAAGAAGCGTAAGTAGATTTTGTTGGGCTTAGACGTGTTTTAGGAAGAGCTGATTAGAAGTGATTTACAATGAGAAGGTGCTGATGTGGCATGATTTGGAGCATTTTGTCTTTGTTGTGTTTTGTAGTCAGCATTTTCTGATTTTTTTTTTCTTCGGGTGGTTTTGTGGTCGTTTTATTCTTTCTTACGAACTCGTTTGTTGATATATGGTGTTTGTAGTTTTCGTTAAAGGGGAAGCTCTTTATTTTGTAATTCAATAATTTATGCTAATTGCATATTATTGATTAGTGTTAATTGATTTGTTTGTTATTGAGAATCGTAAATTAGGGAGTGATATTATGTTGTCTTCTGTGAAATTGTTAAGTAGTATTTCTCATATCATTTTTTTCTCTTATTTTTATTTGTAGTTTATTAGGAAGCTGTTTTGAAAAGTATCCAGATTTGTTTCTTCATTTTAATGATTAAATATTTTGTTAATCGATTGTTAACTAGAAAAAAATATTTAGCACCTTGACAGGATTGTCAGTTATTATATTGTTGGAGTGATAAAGATCATCATCGCGTACATGTAAGGAGATTATGGGATGATAATAATTTTCGGTGTTGTTGGTTTTCTGCAATTTAAATTATTTAAAATATATAATTGAGGAAGTATTCGATCACCTGGTTTATATAGTAGTGTTATGCGAAAACATGTTTGTTTTGTATGGAATTTTTGTTTTACTTGTTTGAAACAGAAATGAGTTATTTTATAATAGACTGTTACAGATGTGTTTAATTAATATAAATTATTGGTTTTTAACTTGTTAATTTTTTATTTTTATTTTTTAAGCTTTAGAAATTGATGCTACGTGTCGAAGAAAGTTTTTTTTGTTTATGTGGATAGCTTAAGGAGCCTTAAATAGTCTATTTTATTTAGTATAGATATTTATTTTTTTAGCAAGAAGAAATTTAATATACGATCTCGACAAAAAAACTGATGAGTTATCGGAAAAAATGTGAAATGACTAATGAGTTTGACCAAAATGAATATTAAAGTAATAATCGACCATGATTTTCCTACAACTTGTATCGTTAGTAATTCATAATATGGAATTATGAATTTAAATTATTGAAGGGGGAGCAGTCCAATGGAGGCAATAGAGTCCAATTGGTTATTGGGCCGGGCCTTCAATCTACCGACATTTTTTTATACTTAATAAAGTTTGCTACAAAAAAAAAAGTCTTAACCAGTAATAAAAATGAAAAGTTATTACATAAAAGTAAAACTGATAAAAGTGTGTTCATAAAACCCTCATGCGTGATATAAAATGTAGTATTTGAATACTTTTCTCCTTTTGAGTACTGAAAACTACCTATCCTTGACAAATAAATTAATTGATACTTTCATTACATATAGTTAGGCATACAATAAATAAAGTCTTCAATGTTCGCCGAGACATTGTTGTTGAAACTAAAATAATTTGATAACTATGTGTAGTAACTAGTAAACCTGCTAAAGTTACTGTCGGTAGTGGGCTACTGGCGGCCACGGACCTATATTGTAGAATTTAATTAGTTTCCAATTATTTGCTTTTTTCATCTTTTTCATAATATTTTATTTTTACTTTACGATTTCGAATATATTAGATGGAAAGTGAGTCTGAAATCTTTATAATCAAGGTTTCTTTATACCATTCTTCTTTTCCCTATGCTTTGATCACGGGAAGGACGAACAAGTTTTCAAATAATCAATAACAAGTTAATAATATAAGAGCATCTCCATCTACTATTTCTAAATGGATATCTCAACACTAGTAAATACTTATAAAAAAAAAGAAAAGTAGGAGAAATTATTGAGAAACATTTTTCATTAAAGAAATTTCAAAAAACTGTATTTCAATTTTTAAACATTTTAATTGGTTTATTTTTTATATTTTTATTTATTCTTTAAATACTCAAAATGAGTATGATGAAGCTACTCTAAAGCATACAACACAAATTTTTCAACAGTCAAATAAATAAAATTTACTTCTAATTTAAAGAGGTAAAAAACATTCAAACCAGTTGAGAGGACACTATTTTGTGTAGATAAAGTGTTTAACAAACAAATGAAAAGACATTTTCTTAGAGGACAATATATAAAAACAAAACAAAAGAATTTACAAATCGGAGACATGAGAGTCATGAGACTTTTATGATTTCAAGCTTTTGTACGACAAGCTTCG